GCATGGATACCTTTGTCCTTTCCCTTAGCCAGGAAAGTAAGGTTTACTTTTTCGGTCCAAACATCGCCTTAGAGTGTTCTTGAGCTCAAAGCATTTTTCTGCAGGACTAAACGGCAACTTAAGCCTTGCTAAAGAGGTGGTAAGAGCAAGGGAAGGCTAAATGCAGGCCCTTTCTTGTTGTTGTCATTAGGTGATAGCTGAAAGCTGAAACGACATTGCCAATACTGGCTCTAACTGAGCAATAAGAAAAAACACCTCTTGGGGTATTTACATTTATACGACGAGAGTTTGTACTCGTGTTGCCCTAATAACCAGATGTAGCCATAACAACTACAACAACAATAACAACGGTAGCAATTACCGGTTACTTCACCCACAGACGGTAGACATGTAAGCCGACAGCCGTCAAAACAGCAAAGGAAACCGGAGGAACACTGTTCGTCAGACAGGCAAGTGTGGTTGTAGGTAAAACAGGAGCCACCAGGAGGATCGGATATCTCTGGACACTGACCAATGGGACTAACCGTCGTTGATATTCCTGTAGCAAAAACACAATAGCTGCTTATTAAATGGTGTAGTTGTATTCTGATAGCCGGTCATTCCTCCTCCCTTGCTGGGAATGGTCGGTTACAAAGGAAACAGTACTTTTACCTCTTTCCTATATTTAACTGCAATCCTCTCTACAGGTTGTTTGGATAACCTTGACTATGAACAAGAAGAGCTCGCAAAATGTTGCAATCTGCGCACACCACATTCATGTAGTTAGATCATATCCGACCGGTCTTGACACGTAGGTCTTTTCTCCTGTTTCTTTAGCAGTAACGACGGGGAGTATGCGTATTGCACCATTATAATGCTATATCGCGACATGGGACGCATAAGACCTTCTGTCAAAGATATGGTTGCCATTGAAAGAGAAGGTTCTAAGTAAAATTAAATGCAGTGCCAAATTGTTTCCAATGAGTTCAATTCCAGATAGAGTCGCAGAGTTTGGCAAAAGTTATTGCCGGTTAAGGTCAACGTGGGCACTTTCTGCACCACCCCCTCCCCGACCCAGTATGAATTAGAGTTAAGAGGGGATTCCTGATCTCGGGCTCTGATGTTTGCATTCGACGCAAAGTAAACTCGATAAGTAAATCGTGTGCTATCATTTGTGCCGAGAGACAAAAGAGCGAATGCTTTCATATGCGCACTTCCTTCGGCATTCACTTTCTGCACTAAGGTATTCTCACCTGACGGATAATAATGACTGCTTTGGAATTAAAATGATAACTTTGTAGTTCACAAATACAGCACAAACACCTGCTTCCACTCCAAAATAACTCAAGATGAGCCGAAACAATGGATGTGATTTAATTTTCAAATGCAAATAAAGAGGCAGTTGTCATAGCAATCTTCAAAACTAGCGAGTAATCACCATGTAAAAAGCAGATGATTATTGTTACCGCGCATCTTTTACTAAGTAGGATGACTGGCAAATCACCTAGTTTAACAGTTGGAAATGTTGGTCATTGTAACAGTTGGAAATGAAAATTACGAATAAAGCTATTCAAAAATAACTTCCTTAAAAAACTGCAAGTATGAATATCGTGAAATGATACAGCAAACTCCTTCTAAAACGTACAAATTCTAAAATTGCTAATCTGTTAGACTTTAAAGAGAAAAATGACATTATCATAATCAACAACAACAACAACAACACGATTTACAATAACAGCAACATCAACGGCAACGAAAGAGAGAACAGAAATATTAACAACAGTGGCAGAAAGTGCATCATTAACATGAATAACAATAGGGTCAACAGCAACAACAACAACAACAACAACAAAACAGCGACAAAAAAAAAAAGCAACAGCAGCAGCGGTAGTTCAGCGACAGCGAAGGTGGAACAACAACCACCACAACAACAACAATAAACGGAAAAAAAGCAACAATAAAAACAGCGACCACAACATTAGCAACAACCGCAACAACAACAAAAGCACCAATGATAAACTTTATCATCATCAGTCCTTGTCGCGTCATGGGACGTGTGAGATTTTAAAGGGCCCTAGTCAGCCACACCTTTGTTTTTGTTTACATGCGAGAGTTTGGCTATTATATTTCATTCTGAGAATGTCGAAACGAAGGAAATCACTGTAAAACTACTAAAGATAATTGAACATACTTTCAGGAACAAAACTTACAGTAAACCAATAACATTTCGCCTCACCATGCAATATTAATTTTTACGATAACTGCAGAAATTCTCGCGCGCTCGTTGCCTAATCTTTATTGTCAATAAGTGGACAGACACACGAATTTATAATTTATGCGATGCGTCAATGAGCTTTCTCCAGCGAGTCTGCGGATCCACTCGGCTATCGCCTCGTGGATCCACAGCTACTTTGAAAATGTTATGACGAAATTCATGATCAATAACAGGACAGACGCAGACAAACTGACGTCAATTTGTTAAAGTTTCGATGGCATCGAAAATGGTGGAGGCTGGCTAGGGTCCTGTAACAACAACAACAACAACAACAACAAAAACCTTTATTAACGTGTCTGGGGTATTTAGCATTGCTGCTAATTGGGGACACAATTAGCAGCAATGCTAATTGTGTCCCCTAACAATAAACTCACCTGGATTGACACATGCAGAAGCAGCCACATCACGACTAGCCTTTCTCAAGCCCTCGAATGATTGGACAGTAAAAACATATGAAGAATCTTTCGCAATCAAACGAAGTTCATACTGGGATATTTCAGGTCCGATCCCAACCACCAACACACGCGCGCCCTGACGGTGAATAGGGTCGGCGGCGACATCGAGATCAACTGCATCTGGATCACGTGTTTGACGTCCATCAGTCATGACGATCACCACACTCGGGAAGCCTGGTCTGTAAAGAATGATAAAAATAATGACAAAAATGTTTGTTCAAAGCTTTAAAATGTGCACAAAAATTCTCCCAAATCGTGGGATAAAGTATAGAAACAAATTAATGCAGAAGAAACTTCCTGGGAGAATTTCCATTTATTTTAAACCGACTGCGTTCATGTCGGGACAATTAGCGTTTCACTTGGGAACAACAACCAATCCAAGATAGTAAACCGATGTCCAAAGTTCTTTTTCGTCGGCACAACTCTACGAGAAGTGTGGAATTTATTAGATGTACGTAGCAATGCCTTGTTTAGTCTTGTCTACATAAACTTACGAAATTAAGGTGGAAAACCGCACCTGGCCTGCTGTAGTACTCGAGAGGTCATAGTAAGCGCCTTGTCAATTCTCGTTCGCTTCTGAAGGTAGGGCAACTCGTCGACTGCCAACAGGAAGTTATCCAAGTTATTGTACTGGTCAAAAGTAATCTTCAGCTGCGTATCGTCGCTGTAGATGATCACTGCTGCTCGACTTCCCGCTCCAACATTAAAAATGGAGGCGAGTCTCTTGACAAAGTTTTTCCCTTGCTGATACTGTGGCGCGTCGATACTCCGCGAAGAGTCCATCACGAAGACAATATCCAAAAGCTGGTCACACTTCGGGTCGGGTTCGCTAGGAGTCGTACTGACTGACGAATGTGTTGTGGAAGACTGCGTCGTTGGTATTGGTGAAGTTGTTCCGGTGGTTGGTTCTCTTGGTGTTGTGCTTGCAGTGGTTGCTTCTCTTGGTGTTGTGCCAATGAGACCTGGTGGTTCTTTTAAGTAATTGTATAAAACAATATCACTATGAATTCTAAGTTACGTGAATAAACGCTAATAGAGTCTACCTTTTAAGCGACGGATTACTGAAGGGGAAGAATGTCAGTAGCTCATTGGGAGATGATAGCTTATGTCACAGAATGTAGATGATTCTTGTTCAACTTCGTTTATTTGTTGATGGATTAGGAAAAAAGAGCTAACTGGATTATTCTAATTACAGAGTTAATATGAAAGGCATCGGCTTTCTGTTATATTATGTCATTAAATAGCTAATCGAGAGAATCAAGGGGAAGCCTAGGTTGCTGATAAATCCACGACGTTTCGTTTTTAGGTAAAGAACAAATGACACTGAAATCGCTTTTGGTATTGACCGTTGATTTTAACAATTTCACTAAAATCCTTGCAGAGGTATTGTTCCTTCATATTTAACCTTGGTTTTTTTTGTTTACTTACGTGGGCAGACGGCTTCCAGAAGCTTATCAGACTTGTCCAGTAATTCCTGAAACGAGCTCATCTTGAAAACATCCTCCTGACTGGTAACCAATTCCTCCAACTCACTCCGGTTCACCCTGGGTCCCACGCCCACCGCGAGAACGCGTACCCCCTTTGAACGCAGAGGTACCACAGCCTTACCAAGAGGCTCGACATTAGGTTCGGGTGTTTGCACCCCGTCGGTCATCACCACAGCAATCGAGATCACAGAAGGACGCCGATTCAAAAACAGAGAATCCGCAGCATAACGAAGGGCAAGATCTATCCTTGTCTTACTACGTCTGTGTGACAGGGCTTCCACCTCAGACTGAAAGGTGTCCAAGGAACTTTGACTTCTGAAGTCAATGCTTAGTTCTGGTCTACCGCTATACATGATGACACCAGCTCGGCTTTTTCGCGAGGCTTTTAAGAATTTTCGAGCTATCTCCTTCACGGCCTTCTTTTCCCGTTCAAAATCTTCGTCGGTGATACTTTCCGACGAGTCCATTAGGAAGGCAACGTCAACCCCTTGGACGCATGACGGTTCTAGAAAAAAAATAAACATGAGAAAATGTAGACTAGTGAAATCAGGAATCCAGAGGGAATTCCAGTTATACATGTATTCATGTAGGTATTGTGACAGAGAAGAAAATAATCAACTAAAAACATTGCTTTTTGTTATCTCTAACAGAGTACTACCACAAGAATAATTATGAATTGCCCGTTTATCTAAACTACGGAAAAATGGGCAACCTGTGTACAGAACGTCAACTACATAGGAAAGTGTATAGGACGCTAAAGAAAGGTTTAGCAATAATCTTGTCACTGTCAAAGCGAAAGTCTTTTTTAATAACCAGCTTGGCACTTCTGACGAGCTGGCTTAAATCTGGAATGAGTCGAGTCTGCCGTGCAGAGGTTGAACAGTTGTAGGGTTGCATGTTTTAGAACTTTCAAAAGTGGTCATTGCTGTAAGTCTTTGTTTATCAAATATGGGAGTGAGGCAGAATGAGAGCTGGCCTTTCATTGACCCAATGATGCAATGATCTCAGAGCGCGGGCATTTCGCACATCCTGGCCTTATATTTTTCAAAAAGCACAGCCTAATCCCCTAGCTCCAGTGCCTACAATTTAACAGTACTATCTGTAGATTGTAAACAATTACTGGATGAGGTTTTTGTGATAACCCTTACCGAGACCTTGATTATTCTGAATGTCACAAAAACCGAATCTAATAATTATTTTATTATACATTGAACAGAAAAAAAACTGGAAGTCATGTTTGTGCTTCTTCACTGACGGCAAGCAACACAAAGCGCGCGACCTTGACAAGAGTAACCTTAGAAGTCATGCAACGCGGTCATACATGACATGATTACCCGTGACCTTGAGTGTCCCTGACATGATTATTGTATAAGCTGCAGCTAGATGACGTCACAGGCGCTGATTTCGAAACTTCACTGTATACTTTCGGCCAATAAGAAAAAGAGATAGTGACTTCAACGTAAATAATGTAGGTAATGAAATAAATTCGAGTGCAATTTGGATAAATAAGTAAATTATTCAAAGACTAAAAACAATCACGAGCCCATGGGGCGAGTGTGAAAAATATTTCAAATGTATTCCAAATTGCGCGAGAAAAATCATTTGATTACTTGTATAATATGCATACAATTTTAAATTTCGTGTAGTCAATTTCAATTTTTTGCACTCAATTTTAACTTTATGCACTGTTTGTATTAATTGACCTGCTCTCAGCCAATCACCATGCTAGAACTTTTGCATTCACATTGTTAAGATATGATTAACCGTGACTGTAAACCCTGTGTGCAACTTGACCTTGTCTGGGCCCTTTATTCGACTTAATCAAAGACCTCACCAGCTTACGCACCATTGTGCCAACTAAGATCTAGTTACGCCTACCAGCTTTCTTCCTGCACAACCGTCGACACCCGTCAAAGCAGCACTTGTAACCATCATCCTCATCGCAGTTAGAATCACATGTACATTCATCTTGAACTGAGCTTGGACATTTTTTATTTGGCGAATACGGTGGACACCTTCCTTTGAAGGGATCTTCAATTTAAAGAAGAGAACAGATATGATTTAATCTTGAAAATGTTGAAAACTGAAAAACTTATGGAAGTGTTTCTCGTTGAGATTTTCCATAGTGCTTACTTACCAGGCGGTGGGGTGTAGTCGGTTGAGACGCAGATCTTCCCACAGCCGTTGTTACAGCATTTGAGGTCTCCACTGCAATCAGTATCATAGTTGCACTCTTTTGGTCGAGAAGAACATGACGATGGCCGTGGAAGGTAAGGACAAGACCCTGGTTTATTAAGCTGCACCACTGTGCAAACGGAAAAAAGACAAAAGAAGAATTGATATATGGGAACGTTCTAACAAAGGGCTCCGCTCCACTGCACAGCATCAGTTTCTTTGCTCATTTTGGTAATGAGGAGAACAATGTCGCTAGATGAAAAGTTGGTCTTGTTTTCGAAAAGAGTGATTGGTTCTGATCTGACCGTGAAAACGTAAAAAGGTCGAAATAAGTAAAGTAGGAAAAAGTCACAGTGTGACAGTATTATAGGGAAACATTTCAGGAAGATAACTAAAGAGAAATCAATTATTCATCAATTATTCGTCCGTCTGTCATTTTGTCTGTCTTTTTGCCTTTCTGTCTGTCTGTTCCTCTCTGTGTTCTTGTCTGCCCGGTTACGAACGCTTGTTTCTTCTGAGTATTTAGAAGATACTCAAAATAACGGAAGCGAATTAAACACCAAGAAATACATGTATTCACGTGATGTCCTCTGCTTGTCAGGGCCGTAGCCAGAAAAAGAAAACGTGACTGACGCAATCCCCACGACACATTTGAATAGTGCTCTTAGTTGTTTATTTTGGTCTAGCATTACTTAATCTGAGCGTATGTTAGACACAAGCTTGTCCTCTTACTCTTTGTACAGGCCAAAAATCCACAAGAGTGTTTGCAGCACTTTTCATCCGCGAGGCACTGGCGGTCGTGTTCACACAGGTGATCGTTGGGACAGGGTGTGGTGTATTTTGTAGGACAAGCGCCAGGCTTTTTTGGTGTTGGTTTTGGCAGGGCTGAAAAATAAATAGCGGATAATAAATCCAGATCATGAAGCTAAAAATGATCTCTTGGATCTGATGCTGTCCTGGGCATTTCTCTAGGTTTAACCAAAGGATGGAGTAAGTGTGTTGGGACAAAACAGAAACAACAACGATAACATCAATAACAACAAACTGAAAAAGTAAACAAGCCAATCAACACAACAAACGGAACAATTTACCTCAAACGACAAATGATTATTTCATTCATCTCGTTTAAACTAAGACCACACTAAAGTAGAAAGTTTAGTTTCTCGTAGATGGCATAAGGAGACGTATTGCGTGCAGAAATACGAATTTAATAAAGGATTATTTTTTCAGTGGAACGTTGTGCCAGAGGCGTTTCATTGATTGTAAGGGTTCACAAGTGGCCAGATTTTGGAAACATTTTGTCTCGGACTTGAGGCAAGGCTGATCTCAGAGTTCTCGACAATTTCATCTCTAAAAGAAGGCCCATATTCCTCCGATCACCAAAATGAGCAGATTCCTTGTCAATGAAACCATGTAACTGAAACGTTTACTTACATGTTGTTGTAGATAGTAGAGGTGTCGCAGCTGTGGTTATTGGTTCGGGGGTGGTTACAGCTCCGGTTGTGGCTGGTATGGTTGGTGTGGTAACATCCGTCATCACAGTGGTGGAAGGCTAAATGCAGCAAATAGACACTATGTTATTTTACATACCGGACTGATTCTATTTAGCTATTCTATTTAGTACATTGCGATCATCTGTTTTTCGTCGTCCTGAACTGTACATTCTTTTCCCATCACAAAAAAAAAAGGTCTTTTAAGTATGTCTATTGATATTTTAACGCGAGAGCACTATTTCCTTTACTAAACTGGGATCTCTGTTCCGGTTTACATAATCAGATGATTATATCAATAAGTGACTATTTTTCAGTTCCCAAAATAAAATAAGCTCTCCATCAAATCCCTGTGGCAGTCGAAAACAGGTAACTAAATATAAATTGCCTGTCAGAGATTTAGGCCCAGAATGTACCATATCCGAAAAAGAAACTAAACTCATGGCTAAAAGTAGTTTTCACTTCTTACCGTGTCCAAATTCGCAATTAACTAATCCGAGGCCTTGTTTAATGTCCTGATATCGTGTGATATCAAGTGACAGACCTGATATGGACAGATGGCCAAATTCGGATACAGTGAATAAAAGTACTGAAATAAAAGTCATTGGTAGCGTATTTGCGTACACTGAATGTGGAAACTTCTTTTTCCGCAGTCTAAAAGAGAATGGGAAACAAAAGAAAAAAAAAAACCCGCTATATATATATTAAGAACAAAAACCAAAACAAACCTCTGTTGCCGTGGTTGCAGCAGTGGTAGATGGAACTGTCTCTGCGAAAAGGAGCACAAAATATAATCTTAGTCATCTGAACTACTTTCTTGGTTAGATATTTATCGACCTTCGACTATAATTACTGCATGTTTCTTTGTTACAACTTTGTATTTCTCAAATCTACGACCGGTTCACTATACTCTTGCAAAGTCTTTCCTCGATTGGTGCCGGTTGTTAGATGGGTAGGTAGGTATTCTTTATTTATCCACGGTTTCAATTCACATAACGTGCTCTTCCATCGAGCCGTGCATACTTACCTAATTAAATTATCCAATGTAACTAAATTAATTATTTTCACAGAATTAGACTAAAAACTATTAAAAAACTATCCTATATAATCATTAGCTATAGTTAAATTTAATTCTAATTATATAAATGATTAAAAAAAACAACTAAGAGTGGGCTGTATCTTAGCACTCAAAGGCAAGCTGTTCCAGAGAACAGAACCGCGATATTGAAAACTCCTTTTGCCTGCTTCAGTATTCGGTCTAGGAACGAAAAGGTTACATTTTGAATTTCTTAGATTATGTGAGTGAACACTGGATGTAGACTTAAAAACACTATTCAAACTAGTCGGAGAAAGATCATGGAGAGCCTTAAACAGAATAATTGTGAGTTGCTTAGAACGCATTTTTAACCTGATGTCATTTATACAGGGACCCTGTGGATACCAGCCATGAGCTGAACGGGCTACCCTCTCTAAATAAAGTTTTACTTTTCTTTACTAACGCCTTCGCTCCAAAGAATCCCAGCCGAGGCCACCGTGTAAAGTGGAAAATCTTTTATTTAAGTCAGAGAAAGTAATTAAACGTGCAGCCCTATTTTGCAGTTTTTGGAGTCTCTCATACTGACACACACCTTTTCGGCAGTGTCACGCATCGTATGAATTTTTTGCTACAACTTTTCGGCAGTGTTACGCATCGCATGAGTTTTTTGCTCATTCCTACTGAATTTGACACAAACCTATGCTGTCCCAGGCAGAGCTACACTAATCAAAGTATGGTTGGTATAGATCTTATAGATGACATAGCTCTTTCTATTGGGCTCCTTATGGTGCTCATACCCTTGTACATATTTTCCCTTTTTCGTACGGTCCTTTTCGACGCCCGAACACAAGGGGACAAATTAAATATGTCTCAAACTCACGTGCTAAAATGTTCGAAGCAATTGAAGGAACGTAGCTCATCACATCAGCAAACGCCTTCGGCGTGTACATGTCCTCAGGTCGAACAACCAGTCTTTGAAGGTTCGGAAAATCGGCCTCGTTTCCAACAGCTATGACGTACACAGCCTTGCCTTCCTGTCGAATGATACCGGCTAACGAATCAATGGGCCCTCTATTTGGCGGATCTTTGTTGGTAATCACGATGATTATTTTAGGTACGTCGGGCCGATTAGTTGAGAAGCCTCTCGTAGCAAATGCTAGAGCGAAATCTAGTCGGCTGCTGGAACCGCCAAGGTACCGAAGATTGGTGACAGCTTCCGAAAAACTACCAAGTTCTCTATAACTTCCCATGCGAATCGGTGTTTCAAGGAAGGAATCAAATATGATGACTGAAGATTGTGTATGATCGGGGCTGTGGTTTAACACGCGCGCCAAAGATTTGACAAAATCTTTCTCTGTCTGATAGTTGTCTAATCCAACAAAAGAGGACGAATCCACGACATAGATCACTTCAGCTTTGTAATCCTTTGGTGCACTAGTATCTAACAGGTAAGAAAGTAAAGCAACAATAACAGTCAATTATGAAATGTTCGGCGCACTTGGCGTACTTGTTTTGTTTTTTGTTTTTTGTTTTTGCACTTGTTAAAATGGAAGTCTGCGTTCGTGACTCACTAGGCAGGCGCTTATTTCCCATTTCAGTTCCAAAAAGCAACCACGAGTATATGGCTTCCAATGGACGAGATGTAGTCCATCGCAAGGTTACCCCCGGCATTTCATTTGCCACAACCCATTTAATAACCTTCGGTTGTCCAAAAGAAGGGTTAATGCAACAGTCATGTTAAATCGTCTAAAACGCAGTTTAAATTTTATCCGAAGGTTAGTTCTGTTGTTAGATTTGAATAATATAGCTACATGTAGGTGGGTTAAGGTGCTGCTATCTTCGGGCTAAAATCAATCAAAATGGCGAGCTTGATGATTATGGACCAGAGAGACGAGAAATAATGATAAAAAGGAAGTCACTGGAAAATCACCTCACTCAACCGTCGACATAACCATGCCTTGCTGATGGTGTTTTGTTGCTGCAAAATGGAGATTTTCCATTTCACTCGAACTTCTCATTGTTTTACTACGCGATTTATACCACGGGTTAAATATCATGCGGTCTATATATCTAACCTCCAGTTAATCAACCCAACGTGAGTTTCACTAATTTTTCCGACACCTATGCTTTTTTGCACTGACCTTCAATCAGAATTAACCGGAGGTTAACTGAAGTCCTAATCGCATGATTGTAATTGGCTTACCAGTTCTGGAAACGACATAATACGCAATGGGTTGCACGTAGGAATTTAAGTCGCTTGAGGATGGAATCTCGAAAAAGTCACTCCGTCTTTCCACAACCGGCTGCAACTGCGGATCATTATCATCGACACCTACACCAATGATATACAAGACAGCACGCATGTCCCTGACACTTTTTGCCATCTCCCGAAGTCGCTGGGATCCAAGCTCGCGCGCCTGCTGTCCGTACGTTATAAGGAAGACCACTCGTGGAACGTCGGGGCGCGCACTAGTAAGCAGTCGCTGTGTTTGCTGAAGAGCTTCCTGAATATTTCTCCTACCTCCAGTAAGGGTCACGGAGTCTACGATATCCTCAAAGCTTTTGCCCATAAGATAATCAAAAAATCCACCAATCAGTATTGGTTTGTCGCTGTAACTGATTACTGCAGCGTGTGAGGAACTAGGAGCAATGCCAAACTGTTTAGCCACGAGTTTCGCGAAGTCCTTCTGTTGTCTAAGGTCGCTTTGGGTGACACCGTTTGATGTGTCTAAAAGAAACACGATGTCCACTGAAGAAGGAGGTGCATCTGAAAATTGAAAACAGTCGTACAATGGTATCGTAAAGTAACTGCAATGTGATCACAAGGATTGCAAAACCGAGAGACACGAGGGCGTGATATGAGTAAGTTGGAGACCTGGTCAAGTGACTGCGGATCTGAGCCGCGGTCATTGTTCATGTTTGTGGTTTTGGACTAGACAGTTTATTACTTTCACAATGCCTTTAAACGCATCGTGACCCTGCAAAAGACTGGGGTTGTTTGCAACGGACTAGACATCCATTTAAAGGCAGTAGTGATACCTAAAGACTTCGTTATCAAAATGTAGATTTTACGGCTACTCATCTTGACTACAGCTGCAAATTTTAGTGAGCTTATTGCAAACCTTATGTACAGCGTAGCTCTTCTACGGAGGATAACAAACCCTAACAATTAAATTCTGAATTAATATGGCATCAGGCTGACAAAACGAAGAGAGTAAAATCAATATTCTATTGGCAATTAACACAATCTTCATCAACAACTTGCACACCAAAACACGGTAAGTTTTGATAACGAAAATTATACATACCTGGACACTTCCTGGTATTGCATGCTCGGGATTGCTGTCTTGGTCCTTCGCAAGGCCTTCCGCCATATTGTGGTCTAGGATTATCGCATCTACGTTCTTGAGACTGTGTCCCCGACCCACACGTCTTAGTACATGTACTCCATGCACCCCACGGGCCCCAGCCGCCGTGCACTAAAAGCGAAGACTAAACGGTCACTGATCTCATGCTCTCTAAAGATACAGCGCAGAATTTCGACTACTGAGTACCTATTGTCTACTAGCTCCTATAAGTTAAATTTATTATGAATATGGCAAGAAGCTAAAACATGGTTAATAATTCATTGCGCAAGGTGGACTTTGACTACCTTCTCTCTAAGAGACGAAGATGGATAACTACGTTTGACATATATCAGGGGTAAACAATACCTCTGAAACCCACTTCGCAGGGATTTGAAGAGCGTCAAAGATACCAGCAACACGAATTAAAGGTACCTTTAACACAAAACAATCCACAGCACCTTTGTCACAGCTTGAACAAGCCATACCTGTTATCTTTGATCAAATTATGGGAGAAAAATGGCCTGATCTGGACACAGAGGTATGGCAAAGACGTATTTTACAACCTTTGAGTAAGATATGTGTCGTACGCGATTTTTCATACGGTGTAGATTAAAGTACTGGGGTTAAAATTGCAAACTTATCAATAATTTATGAAGACATACCAGGACAACTTCTGGTATTGCAAGCACGGGACTGTAGTCGGGGTCCATTGCACGGCCTTCCGCCATTTTCTGGTGTGGGACTATCACATCTGCGTTCTTGAGTCTGCATCCCCGACCCACACGTCTTGGTACATTTGCTCCATCCACCCCACGGGCCCCAGCCCCCGTGCACTGAAAGCGTAGTTTAACGGTAACTGATCTCATTTTCTATTTATGATAGTCGTATATGCTAATTTATATAGAGATCGAGTCCAGAATTTTGACGACTGAGTACCTCTTGTACGGATGTTTAACTAGGCCTGTAGATCGTGTTTCATCTAACACGTGTTTCAGGCCGGCAATCTTCTCTCTGTTTGCCGGCTGTGGGATGCTACAAGGTTAGCTATGTGTTTGTTGCCTATTAACTGTTGTTCGATAACTTTAACTAAATTTTGGCTCCCCTTCGAGCAATTTCTTATAAATTAGTATTTACCAGCGGTAAAAGCCGAATACCTAACTTACGCGTGGGTTTCGTTCTGCAGATTTTAACTTTCGAGAACTCAAACTCATCATATACAATTGACCAGCTTTCCATTTTTCCTGAAGGGTTCGAGTTAGTAGGATTGACAGTTTGCTTTAAAACACCAACCTTTTCTCCCAGTCAAATACTCATTGTACAACTGGATATATTACCTTTCACAGGAACAGTAGTTGTTTCCCTTGGTTCCGTTGTCGATGGTATTTCTGATGGAGTAGTTTCTTCTGCCGTCGTTGGGCTTGGTGTAGCAGTTTGAGGTTCCCGAGGGGCAACTGTTTGCGATAAAAAACATAGCTTAACGCTCCTCTTTATGGTCTTCTTTAATGGGAACCGAGAGAGATTAATGAAAGGAAAACGAAAGGAGTCAAAACTTATCCTACTACTTTGTTTCACCTTCTCATAATCTTTTGTGCTTGCGTTTCTAGAACTGACATCATTAGACTGTGTTCTTACTCCAAGGAGACATCTTATGACGGCTTATTTGCTACATGTGATCTTCAAATGGTGACCTGGATTTCTTTTTCTTTCTAATGTTAGCTCTTACAACCTGCTGGCAACTCAACTTCCAGCACATAGAAAAGAAGCTTCCGGAACATTGCAATTGGCATCTACGACCAACTGGTCACCTCTCAATATGCATAGCAAAAAATTCAAACTAACGCGGAATAATAATAGCCTACCATAGTCAACCAGAAGGTCAGTCGAGAGCCTTTCCGCCCCTTGTGCCAGATCAAGGAAGGAAGGAACAGATATAACACTGGATTTGTTTTTACCGTCCCCTTGGAAGTAACTGGGATCAACCTTGTCTCCAACTGCCATTACGTGAATTTTCGTTCCAGTACGATGGAGCGGTTTTACCGCAGCACTAAATGTTTGTGAACCTGGTTCATCGGTTTGTCGACCTGCAGCTACCAATACGACAAACTTTGGATGATCAACATTGATGTCCCTCAGGGCGTCCGTTGCCGCCTTCAAAGCTCTGTCGATTCGCCTGGCACCTCTCAAATGGGGAAGGTTGTCGATGATCGTCTCTAGACTGGACTTGCTTTCCTGGTTTTGGAAATCTAAGACCATTGTCGGGCCATCACTGTAAACCATAATACCGACTCGAGAACCGCTGTCGGCTGGATAAATGTTCAGTTGGCTGATTAAGGATTTTATGAATTCTTTTTCTAGTCCAAAGTTGGAAGGCGTCACCTCAGCGGACGAATCGATGACGAACAAGACGTACATCGTGAGATTGAACTCGTATGGCCTCACTGAGGAAAAATTACAAGGAAGTTTATTTAAAAACAGTCACTTTAACAAGCAGCAGCTAAACAAAAACTAACGTAGCTGGTCTACTAATTACGAAAACGTTTTCGATTAACATGTGTCAGGGTAGGGGTGATGCTATTAAGAAGCTGTGAGCCACTCACTTGGATCGTTTTGCTTTACCGCACTCTCTCATTAAAGGTGGAATTTAGCTTACCAGAGTCCGTCAACACCTGACTTCCGATCTGATTGATCTGCTCTGGAATATCGCTGCGTGAAGGTATGGAAAACACGTTTTCTGGATTTTCCAAACTGGAACTAAAGTCTGGAATGCTAGGAGATGGGCCAATCAGAGCAACGTACGTCCTCACACCTAGGGCGTATAGCCTGTTAAGGACGTCACCAAATGAATTCCAATCCTCGTTTTGCAGTGGCTTCCCAGATGTCACAAGGAAAACAACTTTGGAAACAGAAGACGGGGACTTGGGAAACATCCCTGCAGCAGTTCTCAAAGCCTCACTGACACTCCTGTCTCCTCCATAGTGAGGAACGTTATCAACGACGGATTCGAAGGCAGAAGCTGATCTGAAGCTTTCAAAGTCGGAGATTACCACAGGCCGGCCGTTGAATACAATGAGAGCTGCCCTGGTTCCCTGGGGGTCGATGTTAAGGTATCTTGCAAGGGATTTGATGAGGTCTTTTTCCGTGTTATACGTGGAAGCCGTCTCGCTGGACGAATCCATCACAAATATAACGTTGGCCGAGTACTTGGCTTCGGGATCTTGTGGAAAGATGTTCATATGTTTATGTCATTGAGAGTTTAAAGCACGCACTCTGATATTAATGAGTTTAAGGTTACTAAGCATTCCTAATGCATCAAATGAGACGAAACAAAAAATGAAAATGAGCTACAAGGTCTAAACAGTGTATGTGCCTGAAAACTAAGACGTTTGACGCATTGTTCTGAAATAACTAATAAAGCGAAGATCCCAGTTTCGGAACAAGTGAAGGGAACCTTCTTACGTAGATTTACCGTTACCTTCACATATTCCAGTTCGGATCCGCGGTGCAATGGTCCGTAGTGCCCTGAATGAAGACGATGTAAACACGTACTCAGAATCCGACGCAATCTCTTCTAGCTCATTCCTGTCCACTCCGTTTCCAACTCCAATAGCGTACACTGTAGCGCCCGTGTTCTTGATACCTTCTGACGCTACAACAAGGCTGGTGTATACACCAGTTTTAGTTTGCTTCCCATCTGTGATGACAATTGCTATCTGTAAACAAGAAATTGAAAATTGTCTTAGTATCCTCTCAAAAGCGCGGAGAGCTTTTAAAAACCTACTTCAGGATGTAGGTAGGGTTAGTTCGTTAGAGCCAGAATTAGTCAGTTAGTGTCAGATATAGAATTCTCTGCTTGCAAGTATTGAAAAATGAACAAAACCTTCGTCTTTTTGAAACTTGTAACAAGATGGTTATGACTGATATAAAACAAGCTAGGCTCTGCATATTTACCCGCTTAAACAACATTTAACAATCATTGAATGCATTAACCCACTATATAGGCCATATAATTTCTTAGCTGCAAATAACTTTACCTTCGCTACATTTGGTCTCATGCCGTTTGAAGTCTGAAACAGGTCTCTGTCTGCAAGCTGGAGGGCTTTGTCCGTGTAAGTAAAACCACGCTGCCAAAGCATTCCATCAAACAATCTATTCACCTCGTCCGTATCCTGCGCGTCCGTGAACCTCATCACAACCACAGGATTGGTGCTGTATGCTACAGCTGCTACATGCGTAGCTGATGGGCTGACATCAAGTTTGCTGACCAATGCTTTAATGAATCGTTTCATTCTTTCCCAATTCGTGCGCCCAATAGATCCAGATGAATCGATGATAAAAGCAATATCCACGAGGGGACTGCAATCCGCATCTGTTTTGATTGTCAAAATGAGAAATCATAACAAGTAATGTACAGTATGTGGTCCAGTATGTGATTCAACATTATCCGACCAGTTCTTATTGCTTTTCTTTTTTAAATATAAATTCAAATTTTTATTTCGTGTTTTCTCTTTTCTAAAAAAAAATATTACTGAACGAAGCCCAACATTTCAGCCTCCCAAAAACAAAAAAGAAATGTCAGCGGGCAATCACCTTGGGGAACACTTGCAAATTAAACGACTCTGTTTTGCTCAAGCGAGTGACATTTTCATGGCTTATAATTGCATGATTTCATCTATCTGATGTTGCTCATTGAAAGAACAATGGATTTCAAATTGAAACGGTTGAAAATTAAAAAAAACGCTTATTATTAGTAAAATAACCTTGTTCACGGTTAAGAATTACGTGTACCGCCCCCCCCCCCCTCACCCACCCACCGAAAAAGGAGGGAAGAAAACAAAAACGCAGAGGACAAAACTGTAACCAGAAATAAAATAATCCATGCGGCACGAATTTGTCAAGAATCTAACTTTGCAATCAAAGTAAGGATCGACCTACCACAAGGGCCCCGCTTCGCAGTAAAAACAACCATATCCCCTTGACAAGCTTGTCGTCTCAGATGACACTCGCTCAGATCTTGTACGTCATCTGATGCACAAACAGGCCTTGATATGTTGGGACAAGTAGGACAGATACATTGGGCTTGATTGTCCACCACACGACATCCGACATTGTATGGAGCACGACAGCCCAGGGTCTCACAACGATCTGCAACAAATGAAATACGAAATTATATTTGAATGATTATGTGCTGCACAACTGCATAAAAGAAATTCCAGTACAATAATTTTTGATAACACAACAAACTACGTCTTGTTGTAAAATACCAGGAGTGACTGGTGTTGTGGTTGGTGCTTGTGTCTTTGTTACTTTCGTTGTTGGTGTTGAATCTGTGAATAAAGACAACGACACACGCAAAATATTAAACCTAGCATTCAAGCGCTGAGTATTCGCAATATCAGAATGATAAAGCGTTAAAGGATTACGTCGGAGATGACGAATATGAACATTCTTAGCCTAAATTTATCAAGTTCTTTGCCCTTAATAAGTTTTTGGATCTTCCCAGAATGCACCATCCTCGTTCCTTTCAGCTATAATACGTGTTATTTGATTTACTTTACGTCTTTAATGCTGTTCTGCCTTATAACCCCTTCAGTTTGAGATTTCCTTTGATTAGCCTACAATAACATGCTTAGCAGCTTGCGGTTTCTACGACTGGCACACAAGAAAAATGAGAGCAAAAATCGAATTTTTGGGTGGACGAATTTAAATTATTTTTCTACATTGTAAAGTATCATTATATGGTTATTATATGGCTTGTGTTTGTAGTCGATATAACGCGCGCGCTGATTAGCTATAGCAGGGCATTATTTAGCTCTTATTAACCGAGCTTAGTCGGTCTGTATGGGAGAATCTTGACCGAGGTCATGAGTTCAGACCGAACGTAGGCAGGTCTGTACTCACGACCGAAGAAAACCAGAAAACTTTATACTTCTTAAGGTGGCCGAACACAGTTTTCAAGTGCCTGTGCCTAATTCACCATTACTTTTAAACTATTTATGCTTTGGCACCCGTTTTTTTGCAAGAGTCAAGGTTAACCTCAGAAGGGTTTATTCTTACATTTTTGCTAAGGTGTGTGCTGTTGCCATGGCAACGGGGCTGGTTAAAAAAACAAGGCTTAAAAATGGTTTTTGTTTATTCAAAAAAAATCCAGTCGATAGATTTTTTTAATAATTTGCCCACTACGAACTGACATTAAATCCCTTCCGTCAACACTGTTCTAATAAAATTTTGACACAGACGATTTTCGTAATTCGTCGTAAATCGTTTTCACTGCATGTTCTGTATTATTAAAACTTCCCTATGCTATAATTCAGATTTTTTGTGATAGATCATTCACGTGGTTTCTGAACTGTTTTTTTTTGCCAAATTTCTTGAAAATAGTAGTGCGCGCAAGAGGCACGTCACAATTCAAAGGACGCTGAAATTTATATTAAGACCGTTGGGCTGAACGGTTCCTAGCCGGAAAATAATCTTCATTTCACGCTGCTTCCATTGGTTGGTTCCACCGCATAATGCCACACCACGCACCTGTACATTACAAATACTATGGCCCGTGGAGTTTTCTGAACACTGAAGAAGGGTTATGGACCCGAAACGTCTGTTTCTTCAAAGACTTTTATGACACTGTTTGATAATTTGTTAAAATATCAACCTATAAGCTATGTAACTGCAAGTGTCACGTATCTTTGGCAGTTTTTCCGTTCACCACTCATTTCAAAATGATCTACCGGTTTATAATATGCGAGAAGCCAGGCCAATCACATTGTAGCATTAACATTACAACACTGGTATACGTATCTCTCAAAAATCGACTTCGTGCATTTTTACCTTGACAAAATCGCCTTGTTATCCTTGGAGCGATGTTCTGGAGATCTCTAAATGACGATGATGTGATTACGTACTCTGACCCAGATGCGATCTCCTCCAACTCTGCTTTATCGGCTCCACTTCCAACTCCAAGAGCATACACCGTAACGCCTTTATTTTTCATTCCTAGTGAAGCTACTGAAAGTCTCGTGTAAGGTAGTGTTGTTGTCTGTTTCCCATCTGTGATTACAATGGCCAACTACACAAACATCACGAAAAGTTCTGATTGTCAAAAATCCCAACTTAGAGAAAATAACAATGATTTACACGACACGTCCCAAGTTCTCTAAGTTCTTATTCTATACGAAAATGAAGGAACATTTATGCAGAAGGTAATACCATCACTCAAGATGTTTGAATACCGATAGTCACATTTTTAAGAATAAAAATGATGAGCGAAATTTTGATTTTGGATTTCCACTCAGATAGGAAACCTACTTACTTTGGGCACATTGGATCTCATTCCGTTGGACAACTGAAACAGATCACTGTCTGCAAGAAGGAGTGCTTTGTCTATGTAAGTGAAGCCACGCTGATAACGCATCCTGTCAAGCAACTGATTAACCTGGTTTGCACCCTGAATACCATTAAACCTCATGACTACCTCAGGCCTGTTACTGTATGCTATAGCTGCTATGTGGGTGGCGGATGGGCTGACGTCAAGTCTGCTAACCAATGCTTTCAGAAATCGTTTCATTCTTTCCCAATTGGTGCGACCAATAGATCCAGATGAATCAACAACAAAAGCGATATCCATAACGGTGCGACATTCTTTATCTGATAAAAATGGGAAACAAAATAATGAATGTTTTCATTTCATGTTTAATTTCTTGGAAGGCATATAGAAACTTATTTTCGAACTTACAAATGTATGATATATTGCTATTTAAAAAGAGTCAAGAATACAGTCGAACCTCCGGTTACGACCACCTCGAACTCTCGTACGCCACCACCTCTCGTCAGCGACCAGTTTTCCAAAACACCAAACGTTTTCAAGTCAAATCACCATACTTGGAACCTCTTGTCAGCGACCACCTCTCGTAAGCGACCGCGACCACTTTTAAAGTTAAAAGTTTGAAATTTTCTTTTGTTTTTAACCTCCCGTAAAGGACCACTTGGCAGATAATAGAGCGGAAATTGAATAATATTGTTGTAACATTATCGCATTCTTGAATAGTAGAAGAGACGGAAATTTCTGAACGGAAAGTGTTGTATTTTTTCTCGAAATCGACTTTCACATGAATAACACATTTAAAATATGGGGTAAGTCTCTGCAGTTACCATATTCTAATGAGGGAAAAATTTGACCCAATATGGTCTAAGCTCTCGTATACGACCACTTAGGCTTGGCATTTTGGGTGGTCGCTTATACGGGGTTCGACTGTATTACATACGGACCTAGAAAAACCAAGGCATACGTTGCCTCAAATTTAAATCAATGGTCAACATACCACATGGTCCCTGCTTTGCAACAGCAACCGTTATATCTCCCTGACAAGCTTGCCGTCTCAGATGACACTCGCTTAGGTCTTGAACACCATCCGTTGCGCAAACAGGCCTAGGAATATTGGAACAGGTAGGACAAATACACTGTGCTTTGTTGTCCACTACTTGGCAGCCGATATTGTATGGAGCACGGCAGCCTTGAGTGACACATGGATCTGAAAAAGTGCAAGTTTTCGTTTATCACTCGTCCTTTGTGCAATTTGAAGCAAATTTTCGCTCACATTTGTTTTTCAAACAAAAGTAAACAAAAATACCTGAGGTTGTAGGTGTCGGGGCTGTTGTTGTCGTTTGTGTCGGTACTGTTGGAATAAAAGCAAAAACGTATAACTGCAAACTTCTAAATACTCCACTATCAAGAAGAGGCAAGAGATATAAAAATTATCAGACGGAAACGTGCATGATATGTACTCTTACCGGTACAGAATCGCTTTGTAATTCTTGGAGCGATGTCCTGGAGATCACTAAATGACGAAGATGTGAAAACGTAGCTTGGCTCAGATGCAATCTCCTCAAGTTCTGCTCGATCGGCTCCACTGCCAACTCCAAGAGCGTAGACAGTAATGCCTTTATTTTTTATTCCTCGTGAAGCTACTGAAAGTCTCGTGTAAGGCAGTGTTGTTGTCTGTTTCCCATCTGTAATCACAATGGCCAACTACACAAACAGTACGAAAAAAGGTGATTGTCAAGAATCACAACATGGAAAAAGAGACGTGACACGTACAAGTTTAGAGCTCATTAAAGGAGCTCAGTCACGGTGTTTTGCCCCTTTTTTTGGCCACGCACAAAATCTCCTTTAAATGGGAGGAAACCTGAAAATAATAGTTTACTAAAACAGAAAAACATCAATGAGATAATAATAAACCATAAAGGAACAAGGATGGTCAAGGGTGGCGAAGATTGACACGGATTGCAAACGACGAATTTGAAAAATTTAGGCGAAACTTTTCAAAATATGCAAACCGTGACTGAGCTCCTTTAAGTTCTTATTCAATGAGAAAATGAAGCAAAATTTTAACCCAAGATGAAAACAAGTGCACTCATCGTGTATTAATACTGTTGGTCACTTTAAAGACAAGGCAGGAAATTTTGATATGGGATTCCCACTCGGATAGGAAAATCACTTACCTTGGGTACATTGAATCTCATTCCGGTGGAAGACTGAAATAGATCACTGTCCGCAAGAAGGAGTGCTTTGTCCGTGTAGGTAAAGCCACGCTGATAACGCATCCCGTCAAGCAACTGATTAACCTGGTTTGTACCCTGAATACCATTAAACCTCATGACTACCTCAGGACTGTTACTGTATGCTATAACTGCTATGTGTGTGGCGGATGGGCGGACGTCAAGTCTACTGACCAATGCTTTCAGAAATCGTTTCATTCTTTCCCAATTGGTGCGACCAATAGATCCAGATGAATCAACAACAAAAGCAATATCCATAGCGGTGCGACATTCTTTATCTGATCAAAAAGGGAGACAAAATAGTGAAAGTTTTCATGCCATGTTTTATTGCTTGGAGGGAAAATAGAAACGTACTTTCACATTCAAGACTGTAGGATAAAACGCATTAGCAGTGGCGGATCCAGACCTTGAGCTAAGGGGTTGGGGGGCGGCGGTTTTGTTTTGCTTGCCCTGCCGGCTTTTCTTCCTTCTGTAAGTATTTCTTTTTTACCCAAAATAAGGGGGGTGACCCGGGCCCCTGGCCCCTCCCCTAGATCCGTCACTGATTAGTACAATATATGATTATTGTAAAAGGTCATGAATATTACATACCCGAGTTAGAAAAACCAAGAAATAAGTTATCATGAATGAATAAATTAATGAATGGTCAACATACCACATGGTCCCTGCTTTGCAACAGCAACCGTTATATCTTTCTGACAAGCTTGTCGTCTCAGATGACACTCGCTCAGTTCCTGTACACCATCGGTTGCGCAAACAGGCCTTGGAATATTAGAACAGGTAGGACAAATACACTGTGCTTTGTTGTCCACTACTTGGCAGCCGATATTGTATGGAGCACGGCAGCCTTGAGTGACACATGGATCTGAAAGAGTGCAAAAGAAATTTTGGTTTATCACTCGTCCTTGGTGCAATTTGAAGCAAATTTCGCTGCCTTGTTTTTTTTACAAACGTAATAAAAATACCTGTCGTTGTAGGTGTCGGGGCTGTTGTTGTCGTTTGTGTTGGTACTGTTGGAATAAAAGCAAAAACGTATAACTGCAAACTCCTAAATACTCCAGTATCAAGAACAGCCAACCAATCTGAAAATTATCCCATGAAAAAGTGCATGGTTTGCACTCTTACCGGCACAGAATCGCTTTGTAATCCTTGGAGCGATGTCTTGGAGATCACTAAAAGACGAAGATGTGAAAACGTACTCCGACCCAGATGCAATCTCTTCCAGCTCTGCTCGATCGGCTCCACTGCCAACTCCAATAGCGTAGACAGTAACGCCTTTATTTTTTATTCCTCGTGAAGCTACTGAAAGTCTCGTGTAAGATTGTGTTGTTGTCTGTTTCCCATCTGTAATCACAATGGCCAACTACACAAACAGAACGAAAAGGGCTGACTGTCACAACTTGGAGAAAATAAGACTGATTTATACGACATGTTCCAAGTTTAAAAGTTCTTATTTCATATGAAAATTAAGGAACATTTTATGCACAAGGTAATACCATACACTTATGAAGTTTCAATACTGTTAGTCACATTTCTAAAAACAAAAAAGAAAATGATGAGGAGATAAATTTTGATTTTGGATTTCGACTCGGATAGGAAAACTACTCACCTTGGGTACATTGAATCTCATTCCAGTGGAAGACTGAAATAGATCACTGTCCGCAAGAAGGAGTGCTTTGTCCGTGTAGGTGAAGCCACGCTGATAACGCATCCTGTCAAGCAACTGATTAACCTGGTTTGTACCCTGAATACCATTAAACCTCATGACTACCTCAGGTCTGTTACTGTATGCTATAGTTGCTATGTGTGTGGCGGATGGGCTGACGTCAAGTCTGCTGACCAATGCTTTCAGAAATCGTTTCATTCTTTCCCAATTGGTGCGACCAATAGATCCAGATGAATCAACGACAAAAGCGATATCCATAACGGTGCGACATTCTTTATCTGATCAAGAAAGGGACACATAATAATAAATGTTTTCATGCCATGTTTTCATGCCATGTCTTTTTCTCTTACATATGTTGTGATTAGACATGTAAAGTAGCTTTCTACGTAGCTAACTAAGAGTGAGTCACTTTAATAAAGTCTTACTTACTCCCTCTTACTTCTCAATTATCCAATATTAAGAACTGACAACCGATCTGACAATTATTGCACGGAAACGTGTATGATCTGCGCTCTTAACAGCACAGGATCGCTTTGAAAGGCAAATAGAAACGTATTTTTTCATTGCACTCTGTAGTACAATATCTGATTATGTAAATAGCTCATGAAGTGACAAGTTAATAAAGATGGTGAATTTTAAGCTCGGTAATGAATATTACATACCCGAGTTGGCAAAACCAAGAAATAAGTTACCATAGATTGATGAATGGTCAACATACCACATGGTCCCCGCTTTGCAACAGCAACCGTTATATCTCCCTGACAAGCTTGTTGTCTGAGATGACATTCGGTTAGGTCCTGTACCCCATCCGTTGCGCAAACAGGCCTTGGAATATTGGAACAGGTAGGACAAATACACTGTGCTTTGTTGTCCACTACTTGGCAGCCAATATTGTATGGAGCACGGCAGCCTTGAGTGACACATGGATCTGAAAAAGTGTAAGAAGAAATTTTGGTTTATCACTCGTCCTTTGTGCAATTTGAAGCAAATTTTCGCTGACATTTTTTTTTACAACAAACGTTAGCCAAATACCTGTGGTTGTAGGTGTCGGTGCTGTTGTTGTCGTTTGTGTTGGCACTGTTGGAATAAAAGCAAAAAGTATATTACTAAAAACTTCAAATATAAATACACTGTGCTTTGCTGTCCACTACTTGGCAGCGACATTGTATGGAGCACGGCAGCCTTGAGTGACAGATACATCTGAAAAAGTGCAATAACAAAGTTTGGTTTATCAGTCGTCCTTTTTGCAATTTGAATCAAAATGGAGATGATTGTTTGGTTTTTTCACAAACTTAGGCAAAATACCTGTGGTTGTAGGCGTCGGGGCTGTTGTTGTTGTTTGTTTTGGTACTGTAGGAATAAAAGCAAAACGTATGTTACTGAAAATTCCAAAATACTCTAGTATGAAGAACAGGCAACCGATATGAAAATTATCAGACGGAAATGTGCATGATATGTACTCCTACCGGCACAGAATCGCTTTGTAATTTTTGGAGTGATGTCCTGGAGATCACTAAATGACGAAGACGTGAAAACGTACTCCGACCCAGATGCAATCTCTTCCAGCTCGGCTCGATCTGCTCCACTTCCAACTCCAAGAGCATACACAGTAACGCCTTTATTTTTTATTCCTAGTGAAGCTACTGAAAGTCTCGTGTAAGGTAGTGTTGTTGTCTGTTTCCCATCTGTGATCACAATGGCCAACTACAAAAGCAGTGTGAGAAAAGGTGATCGTTAGAAATCACAATATGGAAAAGGAAGAATGACACGTGCCATTTTAGAGCCTATTAAGTTCTTATTCCATACGAAAATGACGCAAAATTTTATACACAAGATGAAAACATATATAGACATTAAGTCGTAGTAGCTTCCTGAAAGGTTTTGCAATCCGATCTGTTGTTTACTGTTCTGAATCGTCGACAGCTGCTGTCCACTATCATGAGAGTTGCAATCTCAAGGTCCGTTACTGTTCGCGCTAACGAATCTTGAAATAGCAACGCTGCTAAAAGTGGACAGAAGCCACGTAAAAAAACAGCAGAAAACAGCAGATTGGATTACAAAAACTTGAGAAAATGTCTGTCTCCGATCGCAACACTGGAAGCATTATTTTCATGTCTAGTGTGTCTTAATACCGTCGGTCATTAGGCGACAAATTTTGGTATTGCAATCGCACTCGGATGGGAAACCTACTTACCTTGGGCACATTGGATCTCATTCCGGTGGAAGACTGAAATAGATCACTGTCCGCAAGAAGGAGTGCTTTGTCCGTGTAGGTAAAGCCACGCTGATAACGCATCCTGTCAAGCAACTGATTAACCTGGTTTGTACCCTGAATACCATTAAACCTCATGACTACCTCAGGACTGTTACTGTATGCTATAGCTGCTATGTGTGTGGCGGATGGGCTGACGTCAAGTCTGCTGACTAATGTTTTCAGAAATCGTTTCATTCTTTCCCAATTGGTGCGACCAATAGATCCAGATGAATCAACGACAAAAGCGATATCCACAACCGTGCTACATTCTTTATCTGATCAAAAAGGAAGACAAAATAATAAAAGTTTCCTGTTCATGTTTTATTTCTTGAAAGTCAAATAGAAACTTATTTTTAAATTAATAATTGAAAGATAAAACTTATTTGTACACTTATTTGTACGATATATTGTTATTTAAGAAAAGATATGAATTTAACATATCCGAGCTAGGAAAACCAAGGCATAAATTTCTATAAATTAATGAATGGTCAACATACCACATGGTCCCTGCTTTGCAACAGCAACCGTTATATCTCCTTGACAAGCTTGTCGTCTCATATGACACTCGCTTAGGTCCTGAACACCATCCGTTGCACAAACAGGCCTTGGAATATTGGAACAAGAAGGACAAATACACTGTGCTTTGTTGTCCACTACTTGGCAGCCGATATTGTATGGAGCACGGCAGCCTTGAGTGACACATGGATCTGAAAAAGTCCAATAACAAAGTTTGGTTTATCATTCGTCCTTTTTACAATTTGAATCAAAATGGAGATGATTTTTTTTTTACAAGAAACTTAGGCAAAATACCTGTGGTTGTAGGCGTCGGGGCTGTTGTAGTCGTTTGTGTTGGTACTGTTGGAAAAAAGGTGAAAAGGATAACTGAAATCTCTTAAATACTCCAGTATCAAGAACAGGCAGCTGATCTAAAAAGAATCAGATGGAAACGAATATGATCCGCACTTTTACCGGCACAGAATCGCTTTGTAATTCTTGGAGCGATGTTCTGGAGATCACTAAATGACGAAGATGTGAAAACGTACTCTGACCCAGAAGCGATCTCCTCCAGCTCTGCTCGATCGGCTCCACTGCCAACTCCAAGAGCGTAGACAGTAATGCCTTTATTTTTTATTCCTCGCGAAGCTTCTGAAAGTCTCGTGTAAGGCAGTGTCGTTGTCTGTTTTCCATCTGTGATCACAATGGCGAACTATACAAGGTATTATCAAAAAAGACGAACGTAGTTCAATCGGAAGATTATGCATATCAAGGATTCATTCATGGATGCTGCGTTTTGCAGAGTGCAAAAGTGGGCAAGAGTGTCTGAAAATGTTTGACTTTCGTAACATCACATTTCTTACACCTCTCTACTGACAAATAAATAGCATTAGAAGATAGAACACTGCTTAGTATCTCCCACTGGAAGTCTATTGAGGTATTTTAAAACTCCTTGAAATTTCAAGGCCCATTGGCAATGGTAATTTTAGAGGCAAGCTTTGTCGCGCAGGCCCTGCAAGCAACTGCAATTTTATTGTATACTGAACGCGATATTTCTTTGAAACGTGATAAAATGAACAGAAGCCAAAGTAGGCTTGTACTGTTTTGTCCTGAATAACTTCGAAACCTCAGGAATCATCACACTGAAATTACGACTGAGTTGCATTAATCGCTCTTTTTCGTGCGCGATTTAGAGTTGCAGACCTCGACGCGGCAAAAATTGGCAGTAAAATCGCCACAAAAATTGCGCCGAACATTGTCTGTAAAAAGGAGCCTTTAAATAGATAATGGAAGAATTTTTCCGAATCGTCGCAATATGCTTTCAACTCTACTCCCCCTTAACAATTAAGGATCTCCATGATCCCCTATTTGAGTTTTTTTTTTCCCCAGCCAAAAACTTCAGCCCACTTACCTTTGGTACGCTTAATCTCATTCCGGTTGACGTTTGAAACAGGATTCTGTCTGCGAGAAGGAGCGCTTTGTCTGTGTAGGTAAAGCCACGCTGAAAACGCATTCTGTCTAGTAGCTGGTTAACCTGGACAGTGCCCTGAAACCCACTGAATCTTAACACCACCTCCGGATTGGTACTGTATGAGACAGCTGCTATGTGTGTGGCAGAAGGGCTCACATCAAGCTTGCTGACCAACGCTTTAAGGAATCGTTTCATTTTTTCCCAATTGGTGCGACCAATACTTCCAGATGAATCAATTATAAAAGCGATATCCACAACGGCACGACATTCTTTATCTGATAAAAAGGATATTGAAACAGCATTTTCCAGTATTCTTTACATTTAGAAGGAGGAAAGCCTAGTGTTAATGTTACTGTAAGAAAAATAACGAGGAAGGTAAAAATGTTACGGTGGATGGCTATTTGAAGCAGCGCTTATCATACACTAGAGGTATCAGAATACAAGAGGTAAAATCAACATTGCAAATACCGTTATGTTATTAAAAAACGTACCGCATGGTCCCTGCTTTGCAACAGTAGCAGTAATGTTTCCTTGACAAGCTTGGCGTTTCAAGTGACATTCGCTCAGGTCCTGTACATCATCCGATGCACAAACAGGCCTCAGGGTATTGGAACAAGAAGGACAAATACACTGTGGTTTATTGTCAACTACCCGACATCCGATGTTGTACGGAGCATCGCATCCTGGCGCGACACAAGGATCTACAAGGAAGTAAAAACAACGCATAAAGATGTACAGACTACATCAACTGTCGTCTATAGCAAAAAGCTACGCAGTGAAATTCGAGGTGGTACGGGAAAATAAATCAGCTCAGTTACCTGGCGTTGTAGGAGCTGGGGTTACTGTCGTTGTTCGGGTAGGAACTGCTGCTAAAGAAAACACTTGTTAGGAAAAATTAATGTCTCATCGCTCTATAATATAATGAACACTAAAGGTTCTTTTAGATACAGTTTCGGGTGCCGTCTTTGATAGAGCGAAAATGAATTTAACACAACTTAGAGGCTGTACAGTTGTTACTTCAAAAATCAGTATAAAAGTATCGTTAGCTTTTAGTAATAGCTCGTCGAATTGCCTTTGGGAGAAACTGACGTTTTAAAGGCCAGTAATTGTTATGACGTGCCAAAGACACTCTGTGCCGCATTTCTACATCTTATGTTTATCCATAAGTTACCTCCACACAAGCGCTTTCTTATTTTTGGAGTGATGTTCTGCAGATCTCTGAATGATGCTGATGTGTACACGTACTTTGACCCGGAGGCAATCTCTTCCAGCTCTGCAGTATCTGCCCCACTACCAACGCCAACAGCATACACTGTGACCCCTTTATTTTTCATTCCTCTTGAAGCCTCCGAAAGTTTCGTGTACGCTTGTGTTGTTGTCTGCTTACCGTCTGTGATCACAAAGGCCAACTAGATAAAATACCATCTTGTTAAATAGGCGTTTCTTAACATTGTTGAAGTTTGAAATTAGCTTGCTAGCTTACTCAACCACTCTGTTAGGTCGAGCACTGGCACACGTCTTGTCCAACTGATTTCGACCAGCTACAACTAATTACACTCAACTCTGATTCTCAGATCTTGCGAGCGTTCTTTTGCAACGACCAGATTGAAGCCATCAATCCAATGTCAAAGTGACGTTCTCTAGTAATCATACATTGTATGAGACAAATTCTAAAATAAAATGAGACAAATTCTGGGATATAAATTACAAGTGGACAGGAAATGTATAACAATTGCTATGAGTAGGAAGCTCAATTGAATCTAATCGCGGAAAATTACTTATAAAAGAGGACTTGGCGAAAGGTGAGTTGCCAAAACACATTTTAGGTAAGTACCGGGTTGATCATGACTTTTCACTTGGTTACGGTTAATAAATGGCCACAACATTTTAGTCAGCAGAACGGAGAAACTACTAAAAACACCGTTTTCCAACTCCTTCAAACACAGGTGAATAGAAGAGGCCGACTAATTTAAACAACAGTTTCCTTACATAAACTATACCTTTGGCACGTTTGATCTCATCCCGTTGGATCTTTGAAACAGATCTCTGTCTGCAAGTAAAAGTGCTTTATCCGTGTAGGTGAAGCCACGCTGAAACCGCATCGTGTCAATCAGTCGATTAACATGGTCCGTCCCCTGATAGCTTCTAAATCTGGTCACCACTTCGGGATTGGTACTGTATGCTATAGCTGCCACGCGTGTGCCAGAGTTCCTGACGTCAAGTTTGCTTATTAATGCTTTGACGAATCGCTTCACTCTCTCCCAGTTGCTGCGTCCAATACTTCCAGATGAGTCGACAATAAAAGCAATATCCAGGACGGGGCGGCATTCCTTATCTGTTTTCAACAAATCAGCAGGCTATTGTCAGTTAGAAAAATAGCAAGAAAGTAATACCTGACCTGAAGGCCTTGAAAAAGCCACAAACAATCCAAATCCCTGACAAATACGCAGAGCTTGGATTGCATTGCATTACGTATCTTAGCTTCGCATAATTTGTCGTGTCAGTCGTGTGCCTACGATCGTTTGCACATACACAACGTGGCGAGATTTCCTTTAAGCTAAGGTCGACTAGGAAATGAAGGGTCGTTTTCTCCGAGATGAGCAAAGTGAACTCCTTCTGTTAACGAAATTCAGTTGACATAATTACCAAATGGACCAAGATTTTTTTAACAATAATTATTACTTCTTTTTCGATGTTGTCACCATAAGGTGTTATAACTTACTATAATTGCTTGAAGTACGTAGATATGAACATGGATAATAGAATCAATCGAAATACACACCGCATTGTCCCTGCTTCACTACAGTGACAGGTATGTTTCCCAGACAAGCCTGTTGCTTCAGATGACACTCGCTCAGATCCTGCACATCATCCGATGCACAAACTGGCCTGCGTATGTTGGGACAAGTGGGACAAATACATTGCGGTTGGCTGTCCACTACTCGGCAACCGATGTTGTATGGAGCACTGCAGCCTCGAGTCTCACAAAGATCTGCAAAGTGTACAAAAGCTACATCAATAGTATCAAGCAAGGTGTATTGAAATTCAGGTAAAGCTGCTATCGGAAATCAGGCTCACTAAATTACCTGGCTTCATGGGTGTCGATACTTGTGGTGCTTGGGTAGGTGCTGAAAATAAAACGGAAAATCTTGATTAAAACCAATTTTTAGGTCATTGAAAATGAAAGGAAAGAGCCGGATAACCTTAGCAAGGAAACTGTTTAGCTTCGTTTACAACAAAACAAAACGACATACTAAACTGGAGATTGTATAAGGAAGTGAATATTAAGTAGTCATGCCAGCTTGATCGTGAGCCCTTTGTCATAAGTACTCGATTTGCTTCAACGAGTCTCTAACGGTCTAGATGTCAACCTTTAAAGATGCAGAGACAGTTAACTGATCCAATCTCACAATTGGAAGTAACAACAGAAGGAAAAAAAAATCGGGGTAATCACTTGAGTGATAGGTTGAAAATAAAACCTTGTGTACAGAAAACCGCAGTTGTCATAAAACGTTGCAAACTAAACAGCTTACTTTGGCACAGACGCTTTCTTATTGTTGGCGCGATGTTCTGAAGATCTTTGAATGAGGTTGAAGTGTAAACGTATTTTGATCCGGAAGCAATCTCTGCCAGCTCTGCTCGATCAGCTCCAGCACCCACTCCGATAGCATATACGGTAACTCCTTTAGTTTTCATTCCTTGCGAGGCCACTGAAAGTCTAGTGTAAGATGATGTTGTTGTTTGCTTTCCGTCTGTGATGACGAGGGCGAGCTACACAAAACGCCATTAAAGCGGAAGGTCAGAAGATCGATTCCGAGCATTCTCATGACATAATAAACCAGAAAGTTTTACAAGTAAGTAAATAAACGTTCTAGGACCAAACACTATAGCAATTATCATAGAGGCTTACTACCTTTGGCACGCTTGATCTCATCCCGTTTGAAATCTGGAACAGATCTCTGTCCGCAAGCTGGAGAGCTTTATCCGTGTAGGTAAAGCCACGCTGCCAAAGCATATCGTCAAACTTTCGATTGACCTCGTCGGTATTTTGAAGGCCATTAAATCGCAGCTCTACCTTGGGATTGGTACTGTATGATATAACAGCTAAGTGCGTTGCGGAAGGACTAACGTCCAATTTGCTGACCAAGGATTTGAGAAACCGTTTTACTCTTTCCCAATTGCTGCGACCAATACTTCCGGATGAATCAACGACGAAGGCGATATCCACAACGGTGCTGCATTCTTTTTCTGAAAAATTTAAGACTTTGGTTTACCTTTGAACTCGTGAAATTGCCAAGGGTAATAACAAGAACAACAAATAACAATGTCAATACAATAAAACTAACAGTAACAATAACACATTTTACAATAACTGCAGAAATTTTCGCGCGTTGATTGGCTAGTTTTAATTGTCAATAAGCGGACACACGCAAGAATTTATAATCTATGCGATATTGACGCGTCGAGCGAAAGCGGGCAAATTGACAATTTGTTATTGTAAAAAAAAAAACCAAATTGACGTCTGTTTTTCATGCGTCTGTCCTGTTATTGACAATTCATAACATTGTCAAAGTAGTGTACGGATCCACAACTACTTTGACAATGTTATGACGAAATTCATGATTAATAACAAGATAGACGTCAATTTGTTAAACAGATAGCAGTAGCACATAACAGTCTCACACCTAACAAAGCTGTTGTCCTCGGATTCGCAATTGAGTTGGAAGTTAGAAACATTGTTTTTTTGTGGATGAAAAAAAAAAAAAAAAAAAAANAGTTCGTCATTTAGGAATGTAAATAGTTGTGCAAGTTGAAACCAGGCACTGCACATGAGGGGTTTTCCTTCGTAAGCGGAAAAAAACATGTCTCTTGTGATGCATAAATATCAAGTTATCGCTGGTATGAGTTGAAAAAAAAAAAAAAAAAAAATGGGCCTCCGAAGTACCAACAAAACAAAATCAATCCATATATGACGCCAGGAGAAGGACCTCGCCACTTCGTCATCCCAACATCCCTAAAGATGTTTATTACAAAATAACAATGGTCCACAATGGACAATGGATAACAGACGTACCACACGGTGCCTGCTTTGCAACAGTGACAGCAATATCCATCCCACAAGCCTGTTGCTTCAGATGACACTCGCTGAGGTCTTGTACACCATCCGATGCACACACAGGCCTACGTACGTTAGGACATGTAGGGCAAATACACTGTGCTGTTTTGTTCACTACACGGCAACCGATATTGTATGGAGCACGGCAGCCATCCGTAACGCATGGGTCTGAGAAAAATATAATACATGATTAACCTTTGCCGCACCCCTTATCCCTGTTAAACAAAATTAGATCAAGAACAGTGGAAGTAAATACCTGGAGGTGTTGTCACTATGGGTGCTTGCGTTGGAACTGTCGAAATAGATGGCAAACTGTTACTGCAATCGTACTATAAATACTAAAATGCACTGACGTCAAACGATTTCTTGGTAAAAAGAGACTGGTCGAACAGTATCACCCCACTAGTTGACTGCAGTAATATTCACGGGAAATCTCCCACATATAAAGGACGGGGGTGCTCGTCGGAAATTTTGAAAAGAACTCCTAAGAGCTACCAAGATACTGTTTTGTGGGCGTGGTATGAAATGTTCTTCACCCCTAAGAGGTACCAATTCTAAAACAACACATTGTCTCCTGTCATATTTTCGGCTCAATACCCTAAAAGGTACCGCAAACACTTCTGCTGTGGACCTTTTTAGACTAAACACACTAAGAGGTACCAAAACTGCACGTCAAGCACCGCTCTCCTTTTTGTATAAGAATCTCCCCCGGGTATTCATGTCGTGCATGCAAACACTCACCGGCACAAAATAGCTGTCTTATCCCCGAAGAGATGGATAGGAGATCTTGAAATGATGGAGTTACACTGACGTAGTCTGACCTGGATGCGATCTCCTCCAGCTCTGCTCGATCTACTCCATTGCCAACACCAAGAACATACACAGTGATCCCCTTGTTTTTAATTCCTTGGGAGGCTTCCGAAAGTCTGGTGTAGTTTCCTGTTGTGGTTTGCTTCCCGTCTGTGATCACAAAGGCCAACTGCCAAAATTCATCAACGACATAACGGTTTGATTTTGTCAGCAGTGCTTGACACGAATGGCAAATGAGCGGTAGATGTGGCGAAAACCGCTTAAAAAAGCAGGATTCGCGTTTTGACTGACTGACTGACTGACTGACTGAATGAATGAATGAATGAAAGAA